ACTCATTTGTAAAAGCACTTATATGCATATGGAAGCTAATTGCACATACGTTGTTTCTAAAGTGAGCTGGAAATTGTAGTTCCCAATCGCAAAGTGTAGTCCAACTCATATCACTAGGGGTTTTCTAAGAACAAAATAACCTACAGAATGAAACACAATCCTGATCCTGATTGATAACAAATTAATAGAATCTATGATACTAGAATTCTACTAGAATCTAGTGATCTATTAATTTGTTATCAATTGTTACCACTGAAATCTGTTACGTTGTTTGAAATTAAACTATGGCCTTTGAGATATCTATTTTGTGACCCTGACGATGAAGCGCTGGCTTCGAAAAGCTTCGGTCAAAGTTTGTTAATAAAATGTAAGTTTTTTTAAAGAAAAATTTTACATTATTTCTAGCACTTGGCTACACTCCAAATACCAATATATTAAGTGCTACTACCTTTCAGGCATTGTATTACAATGTTCGCTGAACTTGACAATTATATAATAAGCAAAACTGTCACGTTTAAAATTTTCAATAAACAAGGATAGAAAATTTAAAAAACAGAACGACAACAGTTAACGGTTTTAATGAGAGACAAATTTTTCCTACATTGACTTGAAACGTGCACTTTTGTGCGGCGAATTTGCGGTTTGTTATTGAAGTTGTTCGGACTCTAGGAGTCCCGAAGCTCATGTCATTACTCTCCTGGAATGAAGCACCCGCTTTCATTGATTTTCGTTCAAAATCAGTGGCGTGACGTGCTATGCGATATATCGATCGTTCTTCCATTTGAACCTATAGAAAAGGATCGATAAATAGGGTGTTTGCAGCGAACACCTTAATAATCGATTCTTTACTACAGCTTCATATGGGGGAATATCGATAATCGATCATTCACGCCTCGCCACTGTTCGAAATCATTCTGGAAGCCACGCAGTTCCGCGGACTGACTTCATTGTAAAAAGCAGGTCAGATGGTGAGTCACATATCCACTGTAGGAATTATAGTTCACGTGTTCATATTCATATTTTCAAGAACGTGTTAAAAATTTCCAAGATGTGCTAAACCAGTCACTCTAAATCAAGTTCGATGTGAGAGGATGAAAAAAAAAAAGGTTAGAACAAACAAGATTAAATGATTCGTCAAGGATTTTGGTTGATGTAACCCAAAGTTAGCTTAATGGAACACAAAAAATGTATGACCATCATCAGCTCAACCGTACACAGAATAATTGTTTTAACAAATTCAACAATTTAACAATTTAACAATTCAATTGCTAAAAAATGTGACTGCAATGTTTCAACGTAGATTTTACAACAAAGAAATGCTACTTTAACCATTATTGTAAGCTAATTTAACCACGGGTGTGGTTAAAGTAGCATTTTTGTGTTGTGAGATCTACATTGAAACATTGCAGTCACTTTATTTTAGCAATCGAATTGTTAAATCAGCAATTTGATTTTTTTCGTGTGCTGTTTTGTAGCCCTAATCATCCTGATAGACCATCGGATGAAAGTACTGTAAATACTTTTTCCCTTGTAATGGTATGGATAAAGAAGTCTGGACGAAAATAATGGTGCTGATTTTTGTTCCAAACGATACTGAATGAAAAATTGAATCTCCTTCGCGTTCACGGCTAATTTATGACCTCTATCCGAGTATTTTGCGAATCGCATTGTTACGTTAAGTGTGCTTTTTCTATTCTCTATTCAAAGCGAGAGTTTTGTGAGCTTAGCACATTACTTTTTGGATGACTGGAAATAATCGAGTCAGAGAGGCGAGGGAGTCAATCCGGATGCAAAACTGGGATGCACGAAGCGGGAAGACCATTGAGTCTCACATGTGCACTAAATGGCTCGCCATGATTTACGCTATCTTTATTGTCTCGAAAATATACGGGAAAATTAGTTCGTGCTGTGTCACAGTTGCAAAAGTTCCGAGAAAAATGTGAGGTTTGCTTCAGTTCGAGGAGAAGAAAACGTCGGTTGTGCGAATCGAGTAGGCGCTCTTTGGGCCGAATTCCAGAGGACAGAGATTACACGATATCGACGGTGAAACTACCAAACCACGTATCTCGTTTGCGGTGTTTAAAAATCTACGCTCACATTTTATTTTTTTGAAGTAGACCAAATCAATATCATTCCTAGAAATTTTCACGGAATTTTCTCCGCACAAAGAGGAAAAATCACAGAAATTTTCAAGACTGGATGTTAAGTAGTTTTTCATTTAAAAAATAAAGTATGATAGGAAGTCTGCGACGTCGCAAACCAAGATACGTGGTTTGGTAGTTTCACCGTCGATATGCGTTTGAGCTTCCAATACTAATTATCTGCCATTCCAAGAAATAAGTTTTAGGGAGTTCTGTTCAGTTTTGAACGAGAAAAAGCTGTATTTCATCCAACAATTGAGCTCTCAACATGGGCGGTTAGTCCTTAAAACATTAATTTATTTTTTTTTTAATCTTTTTGAATAAGTTCATGCTCTAGGGATTTTACACAGTCATAATTTTGCATTTTGCACCTTAAAATTTTGGAAAAACGGGACTCAAGCGCCTATCTCCGCGATATTACCGCAACCATGGACTCACCATCCCTTCTGCAACACACTTGTAACATTGGCCCAGAACCCCCCCCCCTCCCAAAGCGTCACGTATTATATGAACGGTCCTTGTAATCTCTCTATGATTTCATTTCGTGCTTTCGTGGACTGAGGTCCCTTTTCCCGTAAAGGGTCTCTTATCGACGTTCTTCCCACGAGAGAACGTAACTACATTTCAATGTTGCCAAATTTCCAGTTGCTCATTGCGTTTTTACCTAGAGAATCTTGAGCATTTCTAACTGTAAATTTCACTAATTTTTACCTCAGATATCATGCAAAAATCACAAAAATTTTAGACGAAAATTGCACCAGTACTTTTTTGTAAAAACTTTAATTTCTTCAGTCAATTTTGCAACCTTGGAATAGAGTTACGTTCCTTTCCTCGTAAAGGGTCTCTTATCGACGTTCTTCCCACGAGAGAACGTAACTAAATTTCAATGTTGCCAAATTTCAAGTTGCTTATTAAATTTTTACGTGGAGAATCTTGAGCATTTCTAACTGAAAATTTCACTAATTTTTACCTCAGATATCATGCAAAAATCACAAAAATTTTAGACGAAAATTGCACCAGTACTTTTTTGTAAAAACTTTAATTTCTTCAGTCAATTTTGCAACCTTGGAATAGAGATACGTTCCTTTGTCCGAAAAATGATGATTTGAGCCTACCGTGCGGACGGGGCCCGAAGACAGCGCATTCCCTGCAGCTGCTTTGTTTTCGGAGAGCTGATACTCGTCCGAAGGTAGCTCTCTAATTTATGAGTTCCCTGGCCACGTCCCACCCGGCCGGGGCCGCAACAGTCATTAAAACGTACAGTTTTGAGCCAATTTTAATCCCGCTCTATTACTTCCGCTCGAAAATTGCCAGTTCTCGTCGATTATCGTGTGTTCGTCTCCATTCTCCCGGCGACTTTTCGCACGATTTTGGGACGGACCCTAGATAGGACCGAACCGGCGGGGTCGTTCAACATGACTTACTGGACTCGTTTTCTGAAAATTCCAGGCGCTCGAGCGTTCCAGGATTATCGGTCGGCCGAAAAATGACAACTTTATGACGGTCGCATTGAACCGCGCAGCTGGGATTTTCCGGGAATAACTGAATATGACATTTTTCGGCGCGTGATATAGGCACATAAAAAAGGCATCCGGATGAAAATGAGTAAACTGGGGGTTTGGTTACTTAATCCGTAGGTTTCATTAATTTTTTCTTTTTCTAGATTATTTTTTTTTATAAATTGTTTTTTTTTCATACAATAATTCGTTAATGCCTAATAATACCGTTTGCCTCTCTCATTTTAGTTGCAGCTTTTTTCGAGGCGTCGTTTTTTTTAAGATATACAAAGTTGAATCAATTTTTGTGACAAATTATGATTGCTGAAAGTTGACGTTCATTATGGTCAGAGTGTTAGAGGAAAAATATGTTCATCTAAATGAGAAAACAGAGAGAGAGAGACAGAAAACAAGAAAAAATCACGAAAACAAGCCATTTCACAGGCGAATAATTTTCAACATCACATTCATGTACGTAAGGTGCTTGCTTAGCTACATAAATATAAAATTAATGATTAATCCGAAAGACAGCGAACCTTCTGAGATAACAAGAACCTGCCGAAGACGAAAATGCGACGAAACTGCAAAAGCAGCGAGCTTTTTGAGAAAGACCCATAACGCCTTCAATTTGATTCTACGCACCACGCACATCCCATAAGTAAGAATAGTTGTAGGAAGGCAATTTAATCGACATTGCATAATTTTACGTTTAAATTGTGTGTTAAAAAATACTATTCCATGGAATTTTCTGGACGAACTTCGGTTCTTTTTTTACAATGAAGGAAAAAAGGAAGAAGAAATGTAACCACGATAATCAATTTAAACGAAAATTATTTGTCACTGCAAAAGTTACAGAAACACCAAACATCTATGGCGACTTTAAATAAAACTTGATGCTCGTATCTTTGAACTGTATCGACGTTGTAAGTCCACAACCGTGTATCTCAATTTGTGACGTCGCAGACTTCCTGTCATACTTCATTTTTTAAACGAAAAACTACTCAACGGCTTTTCTTAAAAACTGCCGTGATTTTTATTCTCAGTCGGACAAAAATTTAGCAAAAACTGTAAGGAATGAAGTCGATTTGTTCTCCTTTAAAAGAATGAAATAGAAGCGGAGATTTTCAAACACCGCAAACGACATACGTGGTTGCGGACTTACGCCGTCGATGTGAAAGTTCTCAATGTTATATCGCATTTACTGAGGCGCCGTCTGAAGTAAAATTTGGTTTTCTTGCTGAACGTCCTTGGACTAATTATTATCGTTCCAGAATTCTCAATCTCCGCATGCGGCCCGAGAATAATGTTCTTAAACATTTAAAAAACCTAAACGCTCTTGAAAAATCTGAGTGATTCAACTTACGGTGGTGCGGTGCTGCTCGATGATGTGGATGCTGTCTCCTCGGTGGCCTCTTGTGTGGGCGTCTGTGTTTTATCATCGGGTGATGAAACCGGCAAGTCCGCCGGACGGCTGGATGTGTTTAACTTAGTTACTGAAACAAAGATCAGAAAAGAGTATTATGTAAAATCATAAAAGAGTATTTTGCACTGGAAAAAAAAAAACACATTGGATCTAGAGTCCAGACTCTTAAAAACATCGACAAGAAAAAGTACTCTTGATTCAGTCAGAATCTAGCGTAAATCAAGAACCGAGCCTCTTAATTTGAGCGGATTTCGTTTTAATTCAAGCAAAAATCCGATTGAATCAAGAGTATTTTTTCTTGTCAATGTTTTCAAGAGTCTGGACTCTAGATCCAATGTGTTTTCTTTTTTCTAGTGTGCCTTGTTCTATAAGGTAAGCACATAGATATATATTTTCTTGACCTCGCACTGTCATATTCCCGATAGTGTAAAACACATTATTCCAAGTCAGAACTTAACTTTGCCCAATGATAATGGATTACCAAGTTGATGAGCAATCTATTGAGTCTCTTTTGGATAATTTGCCTGCGAAATCGGTAGACAAGACTTTTCTCAGTCACTAAGAGACTAACGGCATGCACATTCTTGGATTGGAGGTGAGGAATTCCTATGCTTATTGTTTCTGGACAATGCACTGATACAGGTGGTGAAATTCTGTTTGTAGCGTAGAGAGACTGCATATATGTGACGATTCTAAAGTTTGTTGGCCTCATGGATTATATTATGTTTAAGTAGAAAAAAAAGTGAGCAGAGAGATTCTCATTCAGTACGCACGTCAGATAATTTTTGGAATGTTTTGAAAATTTCAATGTCTCTGTAGGTAATTTTGACGTCCACAGGAAAAGATATCTCACTATCATGTCCGAGAAATAAAAAATTGGGCTATTGTTACTAATGCCAGTACTCACGAACTTTTTCGTAAATCGTTGCCCGAAAATGTCGAATCAAGCTGGAAAAAGGGGTGTCTGAAGTTTTCAACTCAAAAATGTAGTTTTGAAAAAATCTAATTGAATTTCAATCCACCGTATCAAGACTCAGGAGCTTAAAATTGTCGGTTGAAAATGCAATTTGGCACCTTTGTTTAGCTTGAAAATTACCTCGGTAGCTCTTACTTCATATTTTGGCATAAAAAGGGCGTTTCCAGTCAAAAACTCAGTCCAGTCTTTTGACCCAACTTGAGAAACTAATTCTCCTTCTCCTCGTAGACGGAGGTCCTTTTTTCCAGACGCCACAAAGATGATTACTCTACTTTCTGTCTGTTGTATTTTTTAACAACCGTGAGTGTTAAATACATTTTAAGGTATGTAAGGTGTTGCTTCATTAGTTCAGTCATAAATTATTTAACAGGAATGAAGCACGGATTTAGCATACCTTTATCTTGAGCGGTCATTAGACTGGACGAAAGAGTTTGCCGGAGCTTGCTCAGAGTTGTGTCACCCGTCTGATCAGCGCCAGTGGTACCTCCCTCGTTGGTGACCATCTGAAATTAAAAATCGAACTTCATTCAGAGACAAAATTAAAAGAGGGGAAATTAAATCATTAAATACATGCAAGGATCACACCAATGTATTCTAAAACATACAATTGAAGGTAAACGAGCGAGGAGTAAATAATAGTAGCAGAATATGAGATTTATTGTTTCCAAAGAGCCTTAACGCTACGCCGGAAAAATGGTTAGAAAACGTGTTCTCTACTAGGAAAAAAATGCCTTTAATTTAAAGAAAATTTTTCGAACAGAATTTTTTTTACTCAAAGAAAAATTTTAGTAAGAGGAATGATTTATTTTATACAGACCTGGTCGCTCCTTACAATATTCACGGAAAAAAGAGGTAGAGGTTGTTGGATGATACATGGGCATTTTAAATCAAGTGTAGTGGTACCCTAATAAATTAGGTTACTGACCCAAATGTAGCGGCGCTACCACGATTAATTGGAAATGCTCATATTATCCAACAAATTGAAGTAGTGCCACAATTTTAGATGGTAGCCCCTAACACTTTTTTTTTCGGTGTCTTTGCCTTTAAGGTCCACTTTTAAGCTTGACAGTCGATTTCTTGATTTTAGACTGAACCAAAAGAGCGATTGTGTTTCATGCGGGATTTCATAATGGTATAATTGGTTAGATAAAAAAATTTCTTTCTTGTAGAAACCTCAAGGTCGCTTGATCCCTGAAGATGAGATGAAGAAGCCTCTTCGATTTAGCATGAAAAAAAGACGACACGCCCGATAAAAGAGTCCTTTCAAACGGCGGCCGGATGAATAAAAATTAAGACATTGTTAATTTATTTCTCTGCAAATCGAGGAGCAAGGATTTGGAGGGGGAAGCTGCGAGGCCGCTAAATATTGACTTTAATTTCCCGGCCCTGACGCGGAACAATATGTCATGATTAGAAGAAACTTGAGTTTTTCATTTTAGAGCTCAACACAATTATACAGTTGGCGAGGGGAGGGGGAGGAGGGAATGGAGGAGAAAACAAGAAAAACGGGAGAATAATAGTTCGGAAGCAGAATGGAAGTTCCTTTCCCAGCCGCCCCGGCACGACCGTACATTCCTCATTTTCTAATCTTCAATTTCCCCTTCACTCGCTGCTTGCGAACTTCCTGTTTTTTCCCTCCGACAACAAACATCGCCGTTGTCAAACTGAAACTCGGCGAAATAATACAAAAGCTTTGTAAAAGTTTTAGACGTTCTTCCTTTTTTTTAAAGCGCGGGGAAGGACCGGAAGGATTTCGCTATTCTTACAGTTCCTCATTCTTTGTGGCAATTTGCAGGACAGGGCTCGTGACAGCTTTCTATAACCCGAGGACTTTCAAGGACTTTTCGAGGACTTCCGAAAAAAATTCAAGGGCTTTACGAATAATTTTAGAGGGGTTCTCGCAGGCTTTAAAAATGGGAATTAACTCATCTTGAGCTTCCATTATCTGCTAACTACGCAAATAGGCGAGTGTGTACCGTAAAAACGATGCTGTTCAACTATTCGCTAAGATTGGACTCTAAAAATCGATGTGGAATGCATGAAGGGACGAAGGGAGGTGTAAAATAAGATAAGAAAAACACGATAAAGATATGTAAAAGCGCGAAAAATCTCGAGTTTTTCTACTTTTTTTCCCGCCGAAAATTGGATTTTTCGAGAAGCAGGTAAATGAGGAGTACTGAGGTTATTTTCGATGTTGACAGCAATTCGGAAGCGGAGTAGACAATATGGAGGGTTAAACTCCACGTATCTCATTTCCGGTATTTAAATGCCCCCAACTCTCATTTTATTTTTATTACAGCTGAACGAATCAACATCATTCCTCGAAGTTTTCATAGAATTTCCTTCGCGTAGAGAAGAAAACCCATGGCAGCTTTTGAAAATAGCCGTCAAGTACTTTTCCATTTAAAAAATAAAATAAGACAGGAGGTCTGTAACGTCACGAACCGAATTACGTGATTTGGGAATTTCACGGTCGATATGCGACGGTGGTGATAGGTTTACGGATGAATCTAAGGCAATCGTGGGACTGACAACCGTGGGTCTATTTCTGCGTATGTTAAAATGCTAAATCCAAAAATGGTCTAGATTGTTCCCCACCATGCACTATTTTTTTTTTTCTCTCTCTCTTTAAATCGAATTTTTTTAATGTATTTTTTTTATTTTTCGGAATCAGCGTCAAAAAATCTGTTTCGAAGCAACTCCAAAGTTCGAAGATCTTTGACTATTTCTTGTAATTTTTGGTACGTAAATTGTCAAAATCGAAATTGCATGATCCTGCAGTTTAATTTGAATTTTCGAATTATTAGATCTTATGACCTTTACTAAAATTGACTATTTTAGTATGTACTAGACAGTGTAGGTACATTCCAAGTGACCTCTCCGTGAATGGATGAAAAAATTGGCCACTCCAAAGTAAGGGCAAAAAGTAGTCCATTCTGCGGAAAGAGCCATTATGGTAACGGGATGTACATTAACATACCAGTACACACAAGATAGTTTTTTGTAAGGTTATTACATCAAACGTGTAAAATTCCAAAGATTCATCGTCGTTTTATTCCGTAAAAGATGTTGTGAAATATTTTTTCACTGGCGCTTTTAAAAATTCAACTGCCCTAGCACCCGTTAATTAATTTTAGTTCTTATCAGCCCAGCTTGACAATCACCCGACAATTTCTCCTCAGGATTTCTCGCTGGTCTCGAGGCCAATAACCCGGGCGGGAAGACGAACTCAGCATCAGCGCGGAAAAATTCACGGGCCATCCACAGTTCGTTGCGGGACACTTTCGAGCGTCTCAATTATCGTAAATCTAATCCTCGCCTCTCAGCAGATTGCAATCTTCAAAACTCGTATCAATTATCTTCTTTCCTCTCCCTCTTCCCCTCTCCTCCCTCCTTTGCCACCTTCTCCGTCCATTTCTGTCTTTTTCCGACTCCACAACAATCCCCCCCCCCCCCCCCNCCGCCCCTAATCCGAGTTTCCCTCAGACGTTTCTCCAGCATGCGGGATGCTAATGCCAGACTAAGGGATGGAATATTTAGTGGAAATGGGATAGTCGCCTGAATCGTCAAAACGGAAGTGAGGTTCGTCTAATTGAATACAGCAAAAGTTTCTTTGTTCTTTTATTTGCAAGGATTAACTGATGAACCAAAGCTCTAATAAGAGAGCGCGCTGTTGATGGGTAGAACAAGGACTCTTAGGATCCTTACTGGTGCCACTAAGAGTTTTAGCCAGGAAGACCGGAAATATTTCTCGAATGATAATGTAAAAATACTTTGATAGTCGATTGAAAATATTCTAAATTATGCTAAATTTGATGATACTTGAAACTATTATTTAACAATTTTTTTTTTTAAAATGTTCAATGTATTTCAAAGCTACTTTGTTATAAAATTTTAGAACACATTTTTTCATGCTTCCATTACATTTTTCCCCCTGGAATATCGTCAAAAGCAACCAAAATAGACAAGATTATGATCACGGAAAAAAAGCACGAGGTTGCAAGATGATACGGACATTTCCAATTAATTGTGGTAGTACCCCAATTAATTATGGCAGCACCCCAATTTACTAAGTAAGTGCCCCAATAAATTAGGTAACTAACCCAAATGTTGCGGTGCTACCCTAACTTGAGTTGCGGTGCTAAAAAAATGAATTAGAAATGTCCATATCATCCAATAAATTTGGGTAGTACCACAATTTTAGGGGATAACCCCTGACACTTTTTTCCGTGATGATGCTCGCATATTGAAGGTTTTCAAAAAATGACAAAGAGGGAGAAAAAAGATGATAAGGGACTCGCTGCGACTTTACCTCTTTCTTGAAAGTTTAAGAGGGTTCTAAACTTTTAGCTGTTGGAAAACCCCTGACTTGGGTGCAGTCTTCTATAATATATAAAGTGGATTCCCTCCAGTAAAAAACAAAGGAGCAAAGGAAGAGAGAAAGAGATATAGCCGAAGATATACAAATATCCTTCTCGAACATGACCCAAATTATTTCAAGTCCATTTTCACGCATCGCATCACTCAAGATTAGAACATATATATATATAACTGCATTGCGCTACTTCTTGTGGTTCTGGCCACTAGAGTTCCATCAGGTAATATTAAAACACATTCTCATAAACATTCAGAGAGAGTTTGTTTACAAACATTAAAGTCTCTCAGTTCAATACATTCTTGTCTACGGAAAATGCTGCGTACCAAAGCTTCAGGAAAAAGGCAAAACGAAAGCCGAGTTGTAAAATTATAAACGAGCTGTAAAAAGCTGCTCAGGTTTAATTCGCGTTACCCGCGGGACATTTCCTTTGACATTGTTCAATGGGTTTCAAGAGAATAGTTATTACAAAGTTAACGCGGATCATTACCTTCATTAACGTTGTTTTAAATAATGAGCATGGAAGCATTTGAATTACCTGACCGAGAAAAGTCATCAGGATGCAAGCTTATTGACATCTTAATTCATTTGCCCGTTCCTGGACGCTTACGCATCAGAGGTTGTTTTCTTCGCTTATTCAATCGATAAATGGACTATTTCTATCAAACTTTATGTGCAGGTGAGAAACATGGGGTGTGCTCTTCAGTTCTCTGGCCGTAAGAAAGAATGAGAATAATAAAGCGCCAGTGACGTCAACGGAGATGGATGCCTAATATCTGAAACTATGCTAAATCTGAGCAACACCGCATTGGCAACATAGAGCAGAGCATTGCGAGTTCACGCCTCACGCCATCGCGCCTTCAATTTTGCAGATGCAACACGGCTATCCATCAAGCACGAATAGTTGTATCTCTGCGCCTTCACCAATTCGGGCTCTTTCCCTTGCTTTATTTCATTGTGCTGGCTATTTTTGTCTTTTGTGTCTGGTCAAATCGATCCGACTATCGCTTTTGGGGAAGTTACATTCGGAAGATGAAGAGGAGGTTGTGAGGAAGAGCTCGTACGTTACCAAAAAGGTGAAAATCGAATATTAAAAAAAGTATTTCTTACCTTCAAAAATATAAAAAT